AAAATTTTTCTGGATCCAGCCAAGTTATTACACACACACACAAACCCAGATCTCGAAGCCAAAAGTACATCAAGTCCCCAAGAAACAGCAAAAATGTGTCACTGCTTTTCAGAAACCATGCTTGTGCTTCGTGACCTTCCTTAAAGATAATGTTCTCACGATTAATTAATTTATGAATAGTTTCCCCCCCAAACATGCACAACAGGTTCCATGCAAATTCTTGAGCTTTTAAATTATACTGTTAATGAAAGCAAATAAAGGCAGTTAAAAGGCAATTTGCTCAATTGGTGTTAATATTTAAGCACAGCATGTGTAAAAACAAGATCACAGAATTCAGTTTTTACCGGGAAAACTTTAACCCAACTTCATTTCCAAAAGACCAGACGCGTTACCGAGAACCTTTTCTTCCCCTACCCTTCAGCATCAGGTAATGAGGCTTTTTATTAAGTAAATATTTCACATTAACCTCATCAGTTTCTATCACTTAGAAATTCTAATCTATAAAATCAAATCAGCTTAATCATGTTTAGATTAGATCCTGCATCCTGAAGGCAAACTAAATTGTTTACGTCTTCCCTCTCCTTGGCACACTCAGGCACCAAGTTTCCAAGTCCGCGTGCCTCCCTGGTCCTGTGGCTTCTCCTGATGGCTGACCCTTATTCCTAGATTCTGCACCAGTGAAACCAACACACCAGTCTTGGCATCTCAGCCAATTCTTTTAAACCAGCCTCCCACAAAAGCCGTAAAAGTTTACTAGCCGGCGAGAGTGGTTGCTGTGGCTTTGCCTGGAGTGCACCTAGACAGCCTTACAATAGGAGAGACCTATCCAGGTAAGATCAGTAACAGGTAACCTTCCTTGGGGACCCCAGGTTACTGCTTTGTGGGGTCTGTGCACAGGCTGCTGCAGAAGACCGTCTTATGCCCAATCTTCCCCCTTAGGGTCTGGGTGAAGTACCCAGAATCTCCCAGAAAGCCTGAGCCCCTCAAAGGGACAGGAAAAGGGGAGGAGGTCACAGTGAGGAGGGTCAGCCTCTCTGTGTCAATGAGGGTCCCCACCAAGAGCCTAAGGACATACACACACACACATAATTCGCCCCATTCTTCATACCCCTTCTCTGGGAGTCTAGTGCCCTCAAAACATAGCGTTTCAAAGTAGTATGATTTTGAATATGATGCTGAAGCTCTTTAAAATACCCGCTTTAGTAGACTCCCTCCAGAAGTCCTCTCGTGGCCCCCGTTCACTCCTTCCACCAGTCCTGGCTCTTCTAGCACACCTCAGTTTCCCCCACTGCTCTGCCCAGCCGTTCAATGGAAGCACGATTTCTAGGCTTTCCCTCAACACAACACACTGCCTAAGAGAACCAGCTGGGTCTGCCGTACACCAGCTCCAGAAGCCAGTTCCTGCTCTGCCTGGGAACCCACCGGGAGAACAGCCCCAGGACAACCTTGTCTCTGAATTCAATCGCTAAATCTCCCCGCAGCTTCCTAACCTTTTCTCCCTTCCCCCACCTCCAAGCCTGCTTATCCCCAAACCATTTCTATTCGATTAGGGGACTGGCCGCAGCAAGGATGTTTACATTAGGCTCACTTCCAGGCCATAACCCATCCTGAGGGAACACATTCCTGATCAGGGCAATGGAAAAAACTATGCGAAACATCTGGGCCTCTGTGCTCCCAACTCTGGCCTTGGGGAACTCCATCCACCTCCAGACTCTCCAAGAGTGAGTGGCATCAGGGCAGAGGACAGGGCCTGGCTTCAAAGGTCTGGGATGCCAGGGAAAGCTGCAGACATTTTTAGTCTAACCAAAGATGTCACTCCTCAAGGCACAAAGAACCAATCTCACTCACCACATTATTTCTGGGGAACCAGCACTTTCCAGAAGGCCAGTCTGTCCGCACTGAGACAAAGTTCCTTAAACAAGCCACATTCAAATGGAGAGCTACTGAAAGGCCAAAGGGAGCTCCACTAGAAAAAGAAACAGACATCTCAGTGATGGGGACATGTCTCGTACTCTTCCCTTCCTCCGTCTCTCTCCTCGCAAGGCCTCCTCGAGTACAGTGTCAGGTCCCAGCGCAATTAAGCCTGTCAGAGGTCAGGACAACACATGTGCCCTAGTCCCAAAACAGGACAGATCCACTGAAGAAGCAAACACAGGAGGTAGGCATAACCGTAGTCTGGTGAAGCCAGTTCTGGCTGGGTGCCCTTGTCTAACCATCAACACTGAAGCCAGCCTATCCCAATATCCACAGAGAAAATCTAAAAAGGCATGAAGAGCACAGGCTAAGAAATGAGACAGACCTGCATCTGATTTTCACTTACCCAACTTAAAAGCATGGGCTAAATATCTAACCTCTTTTGACTTCTTATGTGTACAAATGAGGTTTCTCATCTGTAATGCCAGGATGCCAAAGGCCACTTGTAGGGATTGAATGAGGTAACATGTACCAACGTTGAGCTCAGAGCCTGCCACACCATAGGTGGTCAACCCACAGGAGCCACCTCCCCCACGCCTAAGGAAGAAATCAGCTACCACCACCATCTCCCCTCATCAACCTCTACTGGCAAATTCCTAACAGCTTAGGTGTCTTTTAGAGAGTTGAGTGGGGAAGGGGGGGGTGAGAGAGAAGGAAGGAGGCAGATGAGGTCAAAGTTTCACCATGATGTTAAAGACAACTCTTTCCAAAACAAGTAGGCAGACAGTTATGAGTGACAGAGCACATGGACATCAATTCCACTCTAAACGGTAGTGTGGGGGCCGGCCCCATAGCCGAGTGGTTAAGTTCATGCACTCTGCTTCAGTGGCCCAGGGTTTTGCCGGTTCAGATCCTGGGCGCGGACCTAGCACCGCTCATCAAGCCATGCTGAGGCGGTGTCCCACATGCCACAACTAGAAGGACACACAACTAAAATATACAGCTATGTACTTGGGGGCTTTGGGGAAAAGAAGGAAAACTAAAATCTTTAAAAAAAAAAAATCAGATCCTGTGACTGCTTCTGCAAGAATAGAAACTGGCTCACTGATTCACACTGGGCTTTTTTCAAGAAAAAAGATTCCTAAGACGCTAGAGAAGATAGGTCTTCCAGCTCCTGAGCCACAAGACTCAGTCGCTGCTTACTAATGGCTACAAATATTTTGTACACTCAGCTGCTGTCTGTGTCCTCTTTTGTCGGGCCTGGGGTCTCAGAGCTAAAGCTGGCACCAAAAGACCATCTGGGGCTGTTGTCTTACACACAGAAGTTTAAATAGCTCAATGAATGAACCCAGGAATTAATGAATGATACAGCCGTATGGTCCCCGTCAGCCTCTCCTCGCACAAGCAGCGCTCAAACCCTCCCAGCTTCGTCTTCTACAATGAACACTTCCTAAGTACAAACCAATAAAAATAATAATAATAATAAAGGTGGGCGGTGGAAAGGGGATCCCACTACCAAGAAGGCAGACTTAAAAAAATCTAGTCCCAAATCTCCCAGTCTTCTCTGTTCATTCCAGGTTAATTTGAAAATCTCTCTCCCCAGATAAGACAGAAAACAAAAAAAGTGCCGTGCTGCACGCCGTCTGCAAGCTCCAGGCCTCTCCGTCTAGCTCTGTTCCTCTCTGAAAACCATCTATCTCCAAGGTCATTTTTACCCACATACTACAGAATGAAGAGCACACATTCTCCCAAGATGTGTATGTATGTATCTGCATCATGCAGTTGAGGAAAAAGTCAGTGTTACACACGCAACCGCAGGGAAAGAAACCATCCTTTAGTCTCTTCTAATAAACATACATTGTTGTTCCAGAGTGGAAATTTTCAGTACTGCAATCACTTTGACAGTCTCAAAAATAGCGTTCTTTGGAGAAGAGACACCACAGGAGAGAGGGTCCCTTTGAAAACTGACCTGTACCTCTTCACAGACAAACTCCTGGCAGAGTCGCTGGATTTGTTCACTAAACAACCAAGCGTTTCATCGCCAGGGAGGCCAGAGCACGAGAAAACAGGGCTGATCTGAGAGAGTTAAATTAGATCTAAATGCAGTATTTTACGGTGCACATTACAAGGTCTATAAACTCTTCTCTGGACATCATCAGAACCAAAATATGAGGGACACACAAGCAGGCGTCAAGGCAGGTGAGTGAGCCTCACGATTCCCGAGGTCCCTTCCAGGACCTGGATCAGAATCCAACAGAGAGAATCTAAGAAGGCATTAAGAGCACAGGCAAGAGGATCTCATTCAGGCTACGACCCTCGCTGGCAGCAAGCCTGTGGGCAAGTCACTGACCCTACTCGGGCTCCATTCCCTTATCTCATATGCAAAATCAAAGTGATGGCTAGGACCCCTTCCACCTCGTGGCTGGGATGTCTGTACCGGGCAACAGGTTGTCTTGCTCAGGGGCGTATGGACGGGTACTCCTGCCCCTCTGCAAGCCCAACCAGCAAGGATCAAACTTGGCAAAATGACTGTGCTTTCAAAAACCCATCTAGTGGGAACTGGGCTATGAGGGCTGGTGTGAAGGGGAAAATTCTGGGATCTGAGGAAACCTCCAGCAGAAAAGCAGACAGACCAAAAACACGGGTAATTCACAGCATTGTTGGTAATGGGAAGGGAATAAGAAGGAATGAGAATGAGCTAGACCTCTTTTCAGTCAGAAAAGAAAAGATGGTGAAATCATCACCCTTGAGCCAATTTATACTTCTTCTAAGGAAAGGTCCAAAGGAAACCAAAGTTAAGTATTATTTTTTCATTTTCCTATATAATCAATCTATCATAATTTTTTTAAGGCAATAACAGGAGGAGGGCCCCATGAACCCCAAAGAGGATAAATACAGCCATGAATCGGGCCAAGGCTGAATGGATCAGCTGCCCTCACTTCACAGAAGCGACAGAACACTTCAGACGGCAGCGGCCGCCGTCCTGCTGTAGAGAGTGCTGCTCAGTGGAAAGTGGAGGCAGACGCGCCATCAAGACCAGGATTTTCCTCCTAACAACCTCTGCTGTTAAAGGTTAATACAGACTGGAGGGGTGGTGGGAGGAGGAGGGGAAGAGTGAGGGGATAGGAAAACATTACGCAATATTAGAATGCTACTTTTATTTTAAAAGCCATCATGTGTAAAGCATTAGTGTTTTTGAAATTGCATTCTTGAGTTAATTAAATGGACAATCTTTTATACATAAAAGTGAAAGAAAGCAATTAAAAGCTAAATGAAGAAAAACTGCCCTCCCCTGGTGATCTGGGCTACCCCAATCCCTTTGTATTAACGTGGAGCAAAGACAAGGATCTCCCAGCACCACTGTCCAAATGTCTCTTTTACAGCACCCTCGGTGACAGTTTGAGAAGTATTTGTCTTCCTTCTAAGTTTACCTATGAGACTGTTAGGATAAGAGAAGGAGAGAAACGGAGAGAGGAGGAAAAAACCTCATTTAAGCAGTTTATAAACAAACAAGGAAACCCAGCAAGGCCAGATCTCTGCCTCAAATGAAACCTAAATAGATCCCCCCCCTCTTTTTTGTCACCTCCAGTGGAAAAACAGCCACACCCAGCGTTTCACCCAAGAGAATTAATTCAGAGTTTTGGGCTGTCCAACCAGCCTCAGCTCACCGGCTTGGTTGCAAGAATCACAGCAATAGGAGGAACGTGGTCAGAAGGTACAAACTTCCAGTTATAAGATAAATAAGTACCAGCGATGAAACATACAACATGACGTTACATGTACAACATACAGTGAACACTGCTGTCTGATAGACAGGAAAGTTGTTAAGAGAGTTAATCCTACGAGTTCTCATCACAAGGAGAAAAGTTTTTTCCTTTTTCTTTGTTTTCTTTTCATCATATCTACATGAGAAGATGGACGTTAGCTGAACCCATTGCGGGTAATCATTTCACAGTCTATGTAAATCAAAACATCATGCTGTGCCCCTTAAGCTTATACAGTGATGTATGTCAATTATTTCTCCGTCAAACTTGAAAAGAAGAATCAAGGAAGTATATTTAGATTACGACAAGAGAAACGAAGACTAGTCATAATGAGGAACTTCCTAAATGTACTGCTACGTCCACCTAGCAGGTGCCGAAACACCAACTGGTCTAATTTTTTACAGATGTGTCTTCCCCAGGCGGGTGGATGGCTATGGGTAAAGTTGCCGACTCACCTGACAAAACAGGTCAGGAAAAGGCAAATATGGTGGCCAGTGTGATAATCAACCCTGATCTCAGGGGAAACAGTAATGACAAACTCCCCTTCTGATGCCCCAACAGACTTAATCCTGTTACTCAAAGTGGTTGAGATTACTCTGGTGCCCCTACAAGAATGTCCTAATGATAAGAGGCATGACCTTTCTCTTTGGTGTCAGTAAGAAGAAAAGCATGCATTAGTCAATGTCCATTCAACAGAAATGGTTTTCCAGTGGAATCATGATGCAGAAGCTAGAATGATGTTCTCTGTTCTGGAAGCTGGGTGGGCTGAATCCCACCCCATGGTGAGTGGCTCCCAGGGTGCAGGCCTCCTGATTCCCAGGCCACAAGATCTCCTACCTCTTGGCTTCTGGGAGGTCCATCCCTTCAATGAATCTGACAGTCATGCCCGTAGGTTTCGAAGAATGCACGCAACCCATAACAAAATGGCACCAATCCACTCTCCAGTCCCTCCACCTCGATAATAGAGTCTTCTGGGGACAGTGCTGACTGCCAGCTGTTCCAAGGTACCTTCCTTTCCCTTCCTGCTAAGGAAAAAGGGGGAGGTGGGAAGAAAAGGCAAAGTAGAGATGGCCAGGCCCAGAAAGAGTAAGAAATGCTTAACTCTTGGGTGCCGGAAGTGAGGCCGATGTCTTTCACCAGTTGTGTCGGTCCCCAGCTAGCAGGCCACGTCTACAGGCTAGCACAAGCTTGCTGTTCCCTTACAAAGCCATGTAAAATCTCTCCCTGTTCTGCTTCCATCCTTTCTGCCTTCAAAGTAGGGACTCTCGTGGGGCTGGAGGGTAGAACCTGGTTAGCTCCCAGTTTTCTAGGCATGTCCAACCCGAGATAAAACAACAGATCTAAACCTCTCCATAATCCAAATGCATGAGTGTAGGAAAGAGCTCACAGGGCCGAGGAGGTGCCCGATTGGGATTCCACTCCCTTCCATACTCACCCTCAGCAAGGGATCTCAAACCGGCACACTGAGCAAGATTCTGGTCTGAGAGAAAGGAAGGAGGATGAGAAAAGAGAAAAAACTGGTGTGGATTACCCACAAATTCAATTATTCAGCCCACATACAAGAAAGAGTCGTTTGTTAAATTTCTCTTTGATTCCTCGGGCTCCAAACCCACCCACTGGTGTCAGGGAGGGGTGTTAAATAAGCCATCGAAAAGGAGCTCCTTTGTGCCCCCCACCACAGGCGCCCACACCTCCCTTTGAGATGGAGAGCCCAGCATCATTTGCTCCGGCCAAACCCTCCCTCTGTTCTGAGGCTGAGTTCGTCTTGGGCCCCAACTCATGAAAGGAATTCAGGATGGGTTAAACGTTACCTCTATCTCCACCCCACATCTCCTACGCCATCTGATAAGCGCTGGAGAAAACATCCTGTGTACAGAGGTTTAGATGCTGACCCAGGGTGGGGGAGCACCAACGATGCAGGGGCCACAAGGAGTTAATCCCCCGAGAGATAGGGGCCCACTCTTTGGAAAGTTCAGAGAAAGCAGAGAGAAGAAAGATTCCACCGGCTGTTACATGTGGTTACCAAAACACAAACACAACTAGAGAGTTCTATGTCCCAAAGTTAAAAAAAACAACAAGCAAAACCTCTATAGTCCCAGCAGACGGTGCACACTAAAAAAGAAATGAAAAAAAAGTGTGTTTAAGCAGAATGCTCAGCCAACCTGCAGTGCTGGTGCAGTCTCTGCCCTCTGTGCCCATCACCGGGTTAAACTGTGCTGTGGTCTCAGGCTGGGGGGTGAGGGGGTCTACATCCAGAATTCCAGTCGTTATTGAATTTTCCTCCATGCACAGTCCACTCCTCTTCCTCCTTCCTTCAACACAGGGCCTGGCCTGAAGGCAGGAGAATGCTTTGGATGGCCTCAAGGCTCTCTCAGCCCCTCCATTTTAACCTCAATAATCATAGTGTTATGGCTCAAAGCAGGAATAATTATCAAGGCAACGAAGTGCCACTCTACAGACCTCCAGTTTCAGCATCATTGACACAGTAATGTTTGCCTTCAAATAAGATCTTTTAATGTTCCTAGCAGCTGAGAGGAACAAGGCATAATGGTTTGGAAGGGCACCCACGTCTGACTGGATCAGTTAACATGAGCGCATGCAAAGAAAGAGCTTCAGCTGACTCTATTGTCCCTACCTGACACTTGGTTGGCACTGGGGGCTATGATAAGCATTGGGGAGCATCAGAGGCTTCAAGCCCAAGAAGAGAGCTGCATGAAAAGCTCCACGATTGGCCTTCTTTTGTGGAACTGCCCTAGGCTCTCCTGCCTATAAAATTCTCCAGGCACCCAATAAATAATTAAATGACTGTTCACCTCTTGCTAAACCACACCTCAGGGACACAGGACCAATCCCAGGGCCATCAGCAAAAAGCACCCCTCTTCCTATACATGCCAAGATCATCCCAGAAACACCAGCCCAAGCATTTCCCAATTGGTTTACTTCCAGAAAGACAGGGGGAAAAGACTTACCTGGAAGAAAGAAAAATGTGAACAACTGATTCCACCTTTTCCCTCTAACCACTCTTACTCCAACTGTGATGGATGAGGAGCGTGATGACAAATGACAAACCTTTCTCCTGAAAACCCCAGAGTGAAAAATTCACCAAGGATCCCGAAGACGGTCCATGCATAAAAAGCAAGAGAATGTTAGGAATTGCAGTTGAACAGCCTCAAACCCCAGGGAGATTCAAACCCAAACTTGGCTGCGAACGACGCACCAGCGCCTTCAGCCACAATAAGAAAGCCTCCCCAAAGCATTTTTTAAAGAATTTTTTTTTCCTGGAAAGAGAAATTGCAACTGAGAGCAGACCTGCAGGGCGAATCAGCTGAGGCCCCTGTCTCAGAAGGCCATGAAGGAGGACATTCCAGGCATCACTGACGTGTTCAGTGCCAACCCCAACATGCCAGACAAGACCCACCACAAGCTGAACACAGACCACCAAACCAAAGGAAAGAGGACCGTGATGCGGAAGCCAAAGGCAATGGAAAACAGGACTGTCCCAGGGACTTCTATTCCCTGGAGCAGCCCCCAATTTCATAAGGAAGAGAAATTAAAAGCCACTGACAAAACCTCGCCTGCCCCCTCTCCATTTGGGGTGCCACTAGTTCCTTCATCCCACCGTGATATATACAAAAATGAGACAAGGATATATGAATGCATCTCCATTGCGTGCAGTAACACGAAAAGTACAAAGAAATAAAAGCAGAGCCTCTGCTCTCAAGAAGAGGAGGAGGAGAAGGGAAATCACCCTTATTGGGCACTACAATAACAGTTAGGAGATCTGGTTTTTTTTTTTTCACTTGATGTTCACAATAACCTTACAAGTTAAGTGACATCCCCATTTTACAAGAGCCTCAGAATGTATACGTGATGTGTCTAAGGACATACAACTTAAAAAGTGGCCAAGGTCTCTGTGGCCGGCCCTGTGGCGCAATGGTTAAGTTCCCATGTTCTGCTTCAGTGACCTGGGGTTCACCAGTTCGGATCCCAGGTGCAGACCTACGCACTGCTTGTCAAGCCATGCTGTGGTAGGCGTCCCACATATAAAGTAGAGGAAGATGGGCATGGATGTTAGCTCAGGGCCAGTCTTCCTCAGCAAAAAGAGCAGGATTGGCAGTAGTTAGCTCAGGGCTAATCTTCCTCAAAAAAAAAGAAAAAAAGCCACCCTAGGGTCACTCACCATCCCAGGGGTCTTTCTGGATTCCCAAGCCAGCATTAAGTTTTGTGAAAGCAGTAAATACCCGATCTTTCAAAAGGAGGAATCCGACAGCCACTGTCTGGCCTCACTCTAGTTTATAATTATCTCAGTCTTATGAAAGGTTAATAATTTCATAAAGCTGGATGTGCCGTATCTCGCAAAAGTCTGTCAGAAAGGTCAGAGTCACTCCAGTTCTCAGTATTGCCTGATGATTAAAAATCTCCTGGAAAACTAAAATAACAAGAAGTCTCCTCGTCTAGTTTCATCTTTTTCCATCTGTGGCTGAGTAAACTCAAGAGGCAAGGGATCAGCCTGCCAACACCCCCAAATTTACACACTGCTCTATGACCAGACTCCCCTGACAAGCAGGATGAAATACTTGCTTGAATTAGTCTTGGTTTAAACACTTTTATCATCCAGCCAGGCCAGGACTGTAAAAATTAAATAAGTATCCAATATGTACTAGCCTCCTCAAAATAAGTCAACCGTCATGGGGAATAAGAGAGCAGGGGTGCGGGGAACCAATTTTTTTACTTGAATCCCTGGATCACTAGCCTTTCTATCAACTGCACAGACACAGCCTCAGTTTAGACTGGCATAGCTAAACTCACAACGTCCTCCTACAGGCCACCTCTGTCCAATTTGAAGTGTCACCTTGGGCTGAACACGAGCAGAGAGAAATGACTGGGTAAACCACTTACCATCACATGGAAAATCGAAAGGAAAGTAACATTTTGCCACTATTGATTAAGGAGAACCTGACAATCTGGGTTAAAAAACACACAAATAAAAATCAGGTCCCAGAATATATTAGTGTCATTAAGAGATCATCTGCCCCCGTCCGCGGGAATCCCAGGGCAGGGCAGCAGCTCAGCTGCGGCTGCCTCTGGGGTGCTCAGTAAGAGAGCTCATGTTTCTTTTTAAACCTTTAACTCACTTTTTGGCAAAACAAACCAGAACTGACTGTTTACGCGTAAGTCCATTTGAAGTTACGGAACACCAACTGGGGTGGAGACAGCTGAACACTTTGAAAGGTGCAGGAACACTAGGAGGGTGTGTGCCAACAGCACCCCCAAGTTCACAACACATGACATGTTTTACACCCTGACATCCAAACTTTTCTGAAAATTTTATCCTACTGAATCCCCAAGGAAAGGCAAGAAGCTGTATCATGGCTGTTTTTTCCAAAACAGAAGGCCAAGCGAAGGGGATCCAGGCTGCCTTCCCACTCTCTCCAAAGCTGCCTACCTCATACCCCTCACTCTCCAACACACACTTACACACACACACACGCACACACACAGACTCTTTGCTCACTTGAGTTGACATCGCACAGCTCTAAGAACCACTGACTCACCAGCAGGCTGGGTCACAAGACAATAGTATTATCCATTAGTTAAAATAAAGCCCCACTGGAGACTTAGGTTAAAATGTTTATTTACCAGCAGCTAGAGCTGTGTTTCTGGTTGCTTTTTGTTGTTGTTGCTGGAGAAGCATCTATCAGGGAGGGTCAAGAGTTTGAAGAGAACGGAACGGGTGTGAGCCAGGTACCCGGAGAAGAGAGAAATTTAAACAACACCTACACTTCCTTACTATAAGCTGCACCCTTAACTGACCACATCATAAACATTATAAAATAGATATGATATATATGTTCAGAGTATTAGAGTCTGTACCTCTCCTCCTCAAGGGGAAAAAAAAAACAGAGGTCATGAGACCACCGTTTAGATGTGCGATTCCATACTTAGAAAAACTAAAATCAATACCTGTTGTAGCACCTCTCTCTCCCCCAGTAAGAGCACGGTTGTTTTAGGAGGATACAAGCTTCTGAAATGCAGCCTTAACAAACAGAACATTGCTCAACTGTTCCAGAGGCAGGTGTCATAAACAAGCAGCCACATGGCAAACATATTGATTTCCCAGCCCTTATCTCACAGCAACCGGTGCTCAGTTACCAGGCTGCTTTAATATGTAATTTACTGCAGGGAAAGAAGAGCAGGGCCTAGGATGTCTGAAATATTTACTGGAGAAGTCGGCAGTGGTATGGAGGTCCCCCACGAGGAGTGGCAACGTGCAAGCAAATAGGAAGAATTCTGGGTTGGAAGCCACAAATGATCATTAGCATTTCCAAATGGTTGAAGGGAGAGGCCAGACCCCACCCCTCTGGCCCTAGCCAAGAACCCATTACCCTGGCACTATTGATCTTCATCAACTATGTTTACGCTATGAAAATCCAGCTCACCACCGCCATTATTTCCATACGGATGCTTGATTTCTGCCAAAACAGTACAAGGAAATTACCTCCATCTATTACGTGCGTTAAATTGGACTCTTCAACTTGCTTCTCAGCCCACCTGACTCAAGATAAAAATAAAGAGGAAAGGGAGGTTAGGATTTCAAAAGCTCCTGGGCTGGTTTCTGCAGGACCTGGGAGAATGTTGAGAGTTTGATTTTTTTTTTTTCTTAATTTAAGTCAGACTTTTTATATATGCCAAGCTGCAAAACACCAAAAAAGATCCAACACTAATTAAAAGCAATCAATGTATGGTTACATTAAGTGGGAAAGAGGCTCTGTGTCTGGCGTTAAAGGTTGTACGTTTAAAATAAACCAAGAAATGCCAAAGTTAAGCTTTTTCAGATCCGTGCCAAGGCACCCACACGCCTGGTACTATATATATGGCGAGCCCGTACCTTCAGATGCTGGCCATTAAACCCTCAGAAGCACAGAGCGAGGCTGCTGGCTGCGAAGCCACCCCTGAGCAGAGGAAACTTCCATTTCCAGATTGCATATTTTCATCCTGAGATGCTAACTTATCTGGGCATAGATTTGCACTTTGAATTTCCTTAGGAGTTTTTAACTTTTCATTTAAATAAAAACCAAATGAAGAGGACGGGAAGGAAGAGCTGAAGAAGTTTTTGTTCAGAGGCTCACAAAATCTCTAGCCACATCTACACCCAGTCGCGGGGGACAAGGCACGCCACACATGGCCTCTAGAAACCTGACCACATAGGTACCAAGTCTAAAAACACAAACACCTCTTCCATAATTTTCAGAAATTCTGCAAACCTAGAATGAATTTCCTTCCTCAGGGAAACCTCCCTGTTCTGTAAAGCCACAGATTTTTTTTTTAACTATTTAAGGACGAAAAAAAATCAGAGTGGAAGATTTTCCTTCACCTCCCTCTGGGAAGAGGTCAACTAGAGAAAGTCTCAAAACCAAAAAAGGGGAGACTTTTCTAGAATCATAGGAGTCATAAAAACCCAGGGCCTCGAAAACTAATCGTGCCACCTGAGAGGCAGCATCTAATAAAAATAACTTTACCTAGTTAACAATAATAATGATGGTTAGAGGGCAAGGCTAGGTTGATGACTGATACTCAAGACCAAATATGGGTAATTGTTTTTCAAAACTTTAGCAAAGGGTTTTTATCAGTATGATGTTCTAAGTATTTTCCAAGAAGTTTTGTCTCAAATGCCAGGTGTTGCAATTAACATAAAGTACTTTTTTTTATTGTGATAAAATAGACATAACATAAAATATACTATTTTAACCATTTTTAAGTGAATGGTTCAGTGGTATAAGCGCATTCACACTTTTGTGCAACCATCACCACCATCCATCCACAGAACTTTTCCATCACTCCAAATTGAAACTCTATACCCATCAAACAGTAACTCCCTATTCCCCCTCCCTCCCCAGCCCCAAGTAACGTCTATTCTACTTTCTGTCTCTAAGAATCTCTTTCACATAAGCATAGGTAGGTACTTCATGTAAATGGAACCCTACACTACTATCCTTTTATGTCTGGCCTATTTCACTTAGCATAATGTCTTCGAGGTTCATCCATGCTGTAGCATGTGGCTGTGTCAGAAGTTCTTGCCTTTTTAAGGCTTAATAATATTCCACTGTATGAATATACCACATTCTTATCTATCCATTCATCTGTGATGGACACTTGGGCTGTCTTCACCTTTTTGTTCCCGTGAACAATGCTGCTATGAACACGGGTGTGCCAGTTATCTGTTTAAATCCTTGCTTTCAATTCTCTTGGGTACATACCCAGAAGTGGAATTGCTCACAAATACACTTTCGTTCCTTTAAAAGGAATCCATCGTTTGTGCTTTGGCATCCAACACCTTCATCAGAACCAAAAATGAAAAAAAGACAGAATTAGCTTGAAAAACTGAAGTCAACAATGTTGCTGAGGCAGAAAGCCACGCAGAGAGTGCGTACACGGTCACAAAAAGTGCCTATGAAGTGGAGCCCCTGCCGTGCACCGGGGGCTGCAGCTGAGACCCCACCCTTCCTCACTGGATGGGGGTGCGAGTTTTGAGTTCAACACCAGAAGTGTGCCTTCCAAAGGAAGGATTTGTCAGGTACAGAGAATGTGGCTAAACGGCTTCATGAACTAGCTGAATGTGCCATGACTGCCTGGACCTTGATGAGGCAACAGTGTTAAAAACACAGGCACATTTTTTGACCCGACCTGATTTAGACCTGCTAGGCACTTACTGTCCTAGGCAGCACGACAAAACCAGCATGCTGACATTTTAGGACGTGCAAATGTGCACAGACCACAGAAATCTGCCTTCCCAGCTCCCAACAGCTTAATAACCTAAAACACCAAGATAAAAATCGTGTGTATAGCTTTATGATAGGCATAGTTAGAGGTTTATATCTTACCACAAATCAGAAATATAGATAATCCAAACCCTCCAAATTTTCATGAAAACCGAGACCACATCAGCTCTCCCCCATCCCAGGCCTGGCAAAGTATTTCAGAAGCTCAA